TCAACGGAAACAAAGTAAATTACCGTTGGCAGAGGGATTCTGGATATGTACTCTGCCGCTTGTCATTTTCAACATTAGACAGAGGGGCGTGAACTAACCAATATTACGGAACATTAACGAGTCAACTTCTGTATGAACCCCACCTCAGATAGATATTCACTAAGTGAGTTATGTCAGCTGGACCACGTGTCACACTTTACCTCAGGTGCTGTTATACAGTTGCTTCAAAAGTTCCTCATGGACTATCGATCGACACTGAATCCATCAGCCACCAGCGGACTGTCACCTGATGAGCATATATCAGATGTAAAATTCGCATTTTGCTAGATGACTAACTTCCAAGGCTTGAAAAGGAGACATCAAGAAATACAAAGATAGAAGAACAGCACGGAAAACGTCATGCTGCAAGACTTAGACATTTTCCCTTTGGTGAATCTGTGTCGGTTATTGATTTTTGAACTTCTAAATCCGAATAGACAACAAGAATAATCGATGAGAAAACTGCTGCAGCGACTAACGAGGTGAAGGTCAGAGGACTGCTGTGGTCAAGACACATAAACCACATCAGGAAGTGGGGTTTCGATGATACCAGCAAGTGGAAGCTTACCCATAGACATCCCATGCAGTGGAACAACTAGGGAAAAACCAGGTGAATCATAATTACCGACGCTACGAAGATCAAGGAGGTTACGAAGACTTGAGAATTATGTTCAGGTGGGTCATAAACTGAGAACTTATTGAATATGGGAGATATTAGGTCGGATAATCTATTGCTATTGACTGTGAGATTATGACTGATGCATGCATTGACGTGATGGCCGGACTGGACAGTTTCTGACTGATCTGCAATTTTTCAGATATTGACGATCTATTTATGATTTGAATTTCCATGGATGTGCACACAATGTGAATACCTTGTACTTTATACGACAAAATTTGCTGTTGTCGCAGCTAAATATTACTTTTGTGTCTAAACTAGTGGGGGGAATATTTTCAAGAGATTATAGTATCGTATCTGTAGGATCAAGTTAGACGACAGCTAAAAAGCAGTAACACTCCATTATAACGGATTCATATCTTAAGGCTAATAGCCCTGTCACATCTTCTCCTTCACATGAACTGATGGTAAAAGCCTTGTGAATAAAGCTGAACAGTGAGAATAACTTACTCAGCCTAAAAAAAATTTTCGCAGCTCTAGAGTTATTGGGGATACTGTTAGGCATAGCTAAGAAGACTGTTCCCCAGGATACCACCTCTTCTTGTTGTGTCTAAAAAGTAGTGACCTAATGTCTTCAATTCCTCTCGCGGGAGTGGAAGGATACTTACACGTATAGCCTTATCACAGTATCTAGCGTATTTGCTAACGTTATTCATTCCGTGAACACACAGCATATGAAAGTTGCATTTTTATTAAAAAGTTATTTTTTTCTTGTTTGCAACCATCAACAGCAAATGATGAAAACGAGGTGACCCGGACGATGATAGCCAGTGCCATCCAAGTGCTCCGATTGAATCAGAAGAAAAAAACTCCAACAGGCCGGTTCCCGGGGAATCGGCCAACTAGTTCGTAGGATAACTCCTCAACCGACAGCCCACATCACGTCAACCACCCCCCAATACGGGGACGTGGTGAGACTGACTACCAGTTGCCTGTACAGTAATGTGAGAGGTCTAAGAGGCAAAATAGCTGAACTTAGATACCTACAATCACAGCTGAACTCCAAAATCATAATACTGACGGAAACCTGGCTAACCCCTACGGTGGCAGACAGCGAAGTCAGTATAAATGATATGGTCCTTGTCAGGCGAGATAGGGATCTGAAAGAAGGAGGTGGAGTCGCCATATACGTCGACAAACAGCTCAGATGTGTCCATGCAATCGACCCTCCCCTCATTGAGCTCCCTGACTCCATATGGTGCCATTTCACCGTTGGGTACTGTAAGTATCTAGTGGGCAGCATTTACAGATCACCTTCATGTGGAGCAGACCACAACCAGGTACTGCTGAATGCAATTTCAGCGACACATGACCTGGGTTATGATCAAATTGTCATAGCTGGAGACTTCAATGCCCCATCTCTTAACTTGATGACGGGATGTGCCCAGGACAGATTTGATCGAAATCTGCTGCATACCATCACGGAGGCCGGATTCACCGAAAATGTCAGAATGGATACTAGATGGGGCCCAGATGGGAAGTCTTCTAGACTGGATTACGTGCTCACGAGTGACCAGCTACTAGTGGAAAACGTTCAGATCACGACTCCCATAGGTAGTAGTGACCATGCGGTCATAACATTCGACATAGTCCTCCGCGAGCGTTTACAGTGGGACAATACACAGCCCTATCTGTGTTATAACAAAGCCAATTACACCGAAATGCGAAGACTTTTGTCTGAAGCAAATTGGCCAAAAAATTGGACAGAGCTTACAGTAGAAGAACACTGGAGAGTGGTAAAGGAGATCATTCACCAGGCGATCTCAGACACTGTTCCTTTGGTCACACCTAAAGCTAGAAAGCAACGTTCATGGCTAAAAAGGGGGACACAACGCCTTCTACAGGCGAAGCGAAAAGCCTGGTTTGCGTGGCGAGTATCGCAGAGTCAACCCGAACATGAAGAGTACCTCGAACTCAGGAATCGGCGTAACATACGAGTCCGGAGTGATAGAAGGACATTTCAGAGAAACCTCGCCAATAAGCTTCTCGTGAACCCCAAAAGCCTATACAGGTTTATGTCTGAAAGAAAACCGACCAACCAGGGAGCTTGCAATATAGTGGGTTCTGATGGGAAATCTCTTACTAGTCTTGAAATGGCAGAGACATTCAGTCTAGCCTTTCACAGGCAACTGAACAGTAACGAGGATTTTACCCTCACAAAACATCAAGATTACAATGCAAGACCAACGTGCGAAAACCTGCTGGGTACATTTCAAATTACCCCGGCTATGGTACTCATAAAATTGGGAAAGTTGGCTTCGGGAAAGTCTGCAGGTTGCGACGACATAAGACCATCCGTCCTGAAGCAGTGTTCAGAAAGTCTCTGCCAACCCCTAAGTGATCTGTTTGAACACTGCTTTGATGTAGGGAAACTTCCATGTGAATGGAAACGAGCCATCCTATCCCCTATCTTCAAGGGTGGTGACCGGCAGAACGCGACCAGTTACAGACCAGTTGCGCTACTCCCAGTGATATCGAAGATATTGGAAAGTCTCATTGACGACCACATGAGAAAATACTTCGACGGGACTAACCTACTCCATGAAGCACAGCATGGTTTCAGGAAGGGAAGATCCTGTGTGACGAATCTTCTACTAGCTTGGAACGATTGGACACTATCCTGGGATGTAAAGGTACCAGTCCATGTGATCTTTCTCGACTTTGCGAAAGCATTCGACACAGTTCACCATGGTCTGCTCCTTCACAAAATAAGCAAAGCGGGTGTTTCTGGAGCACTTCTCGCATGGCTGGAAGATTATTTAGGCGAGAGAGAATTCTGCACCAAAGTCAACCGCATCCGATCATCCTGGCACACCTCGGCATCAGGGGTTCCTCAGGGTTCTATCTTAGGGCCGTTGATGTTTTTGATTTTTATCAATGACCTGCCCTGTCAACTGAATTGCTCTGCGCTTCTTTACGCTGACGACGTAAAGATTTGGAGAGCAATAAACTCATCGGAAGACTCCGACAGATTGCAGGCTGACCTGCAAACGCTGGGGGACTGGGCTCTGGCTAACGGAATGCCTTTCAACTTAAAGAAGTGCAAAGTAGTGCAACTTCATTCCGGCAGGTCACAGAGTGCAAATTACACCCTTGGTGGCCAGAACTTGAGTTGTGTGCCATCAGAACGCGATCTAGGCCTTATTTTAACAGAAAAGCTAGACACCAGTGTAAATTACACGAGGGACGTCGCCAAAGCTTACGGCACTTTACACTTTATGCATAGGCAACTGGGAGCTCTTACTCCTGAACTATTCCTAACGTTGTATACGACATACGTGAGGCCACTCCTTGAGGTGCATAATATCATTGCTCCTCCGCTACTCAAAAGGGATGCTAACATGCTAGAAAGTGTCCAGAGACGAGCGACAAAATGGGTGATCGGCCTCCGCAACAAATCATATGAGGAGAGACTGAAGAAATTAAGTCTTTTCACACTTAGTTACCGTAGTCACAGGGGAGACCTCATCACCGTCTATAAGATCCTAAATGACCAGGCCCATCCTAACAAGAGCATCCTGCCATTAAGTGATTATAGGCTTCCACGAGGTAACCCGCTAAGGATAGCACACCAGAGACCAAGGACTCGAGTGCGTTCACATTTCTTCTCGCTTCGAGTTTGCCGTCTCTGGAACGCTTTACCGGCGGCCGTAACTACAGCTCCATCTGTGGAGATTTTTAAGCGGAAGCTGGACAATCATGCAGAAATGCATGGTTTGTGTCTCAATGGCTTACCCTCTTAAAATTTGAAACCACATTGTCAATGGATAAGCATACAAGCTAAATCTTCACGACCCGTCCTGTCTTCTCCCACTGTACCGACTACTCTATCTTTCTTTCTTTATTATTTCACTTATCTCAACCTATATTATCTACACTACAACCTATTATTATCATTATCATTATTATTATTATTACTCTACTTTTATGACTATACCGAATGACCGACGGGTGTTAGGTCAAACTCCATTCACGGCAGCAGCTGAGTCCTAACATACTGCACACTACAAACCACAATCTTGACCAATCCTCGCATCACTCCTCCTGGAGTCTACCAGAGCTAAAGCAGTCGAGTGGCGGGATTTACTACGCATAAGTTCACCGAAGATCTGGAACCTCTACCTTAAAATCAAGAAGCGAGCTCAAAGAAATCACTGGTTTATACTAGCTCGTAATCAGGATATTGGATATTGGATATTGGACCCATCCAAGGTCGTGTGGATTTTGGAAACTGTCGTACATGAGTTAGCATTTTAGGAATTTAACTTTTCCCCTACTTCAGTCACAGTTCTAAGGTTCGTAACCGAAAATTTATGCGTAAATAAATTTTATAATTATTGGTCTTTTATCAATTTACTGACCAAAAGACATCAAACTACCTTGAACAAACGGTTCGGATGAATGAATGTAAAAACGTGTCTAAACGAAGTTAAAGTGTCATAGCCAAAGTTTAGGTCTTTCAAAATTTGACCTTCGAGAGCCAATCATATATAATGTGTGCCATGGAAAGTCATTCCCAATCAAATCATGCCTGCCTTTTTGGAGTTGGAGAAGATTCAGATACAGATTTATTGGTTGAGGATAGAAGGCTTGGAGCCTATGTTAATCCTTTCCGAATAAATTTCCGTGGTTGTCTAAACCCTTCTTGAATGAGTCAGTTGAGGTTGCAGACACCACTTCTTTTGGAAGTCGGTTTCAAGAGTTAATGACTAGGTGTGAGAACCAGTACTCAACAGCAATATGATTTCTTCTTGGCTTTTGAACTCTCCTGCTATGTTCTCTCTAAGGTGTTCTGATCTGGTGGGAAGGAAAAGAGAGAATAGGTCAGGTGATTAAATCTCATCTCTGCCTACAGTATGACAGGGAAAAGAGATTTAAAGTGTCTAGTCTTTCCTCGTATGACAAGTCAGTCATGTCAAGAACCATACGTGTTACCTTCCTTTGAACCCTTTCTAGAATATGTGAGTCCCCTTTAAGCTGTAATCAAACATAAAAAATACAAGGACTGGCTGCCTGGATACAGTTTTCAAGTCTTGACCTCACCAGAAAGGTGATCATATCTCTGGTGATTCTGGTAAAGGCTATGCGAATTGCCCATAAGGATCTGAAACTACGTGCAGCCACCGTGCGACAGTGTGCTGTAGTTTTTAAATCGTGGCTAGCTATGAAACCTAAATCCAAATGAGTCTGAACTGATGGTAGTGTTATTCCCTCTAGTTCATAGGAGCTGATGCTTGCTTGTCCAATGCGCATGGTTGCACATTTTGCTACATTGATTGGGAGCATCCATTCTCTAGACCACTGACAATTTGTTGAGGTCCTTTTACAACGTGAGCGTATCACTGTTTCTCTTCAGCTCTCTCTAAATTTTTAAGTCATCTGCGTATAGGACCATAGGGGAATCCGTGAGCAGAGATAACTCATCGATATACAAAATAAATTGGAGAGGTCTGAGTACCGTGTATTGTGGCACTTTGCTACACACTGCTGTAGATACAGTATTTTACTTATTCCCTAGGTACTTTGTCTGTAAATCTATACTGTTAAGTAGGTTTATTGCTTTTTAGAGTAAGGTGTAGTTGAGGACTAGGGTTTAAGTAAAGATCATGTTTAGAGTTAGGAGTAGGTTAAAGGACTGTGTCAGAAATATCAATAGATGTCAAAGTACCTCGATCTGCAGTCACCAGGATGAATGCATCTATCGCACACGGTACAATTTCCCTAAAGATCATCTGTGTGGTGACTTGGAGACATTCTTACAACACATAAGCGACAACTATATAGTGCAATATGTTTACAATGTTTTTGCATCTGAATTCTGGTTGGTTTCTCGAGGTCGCTTTGGCTATGATAGTTTAACTTTGCCCGTGTTTATTGTACATTTGAATGTAAAGACTGCCAGATACGATGGTTCTTCCGTATGTCTAAATGAAACATCCAAACCCTAGTTTAAATTTTTTTCTGTAATAGAAAACTAAGCTAACAACTGACCTTCACTCGAGACTCCCAAGGTTAGGTACATGAGTTCTTTCCTGGGCATGAAGCTGGCATTGGTTATTCTTTAACCTCAAAGCGAGATTCTCATTATGGCTTTGACCGGTTTGTTCAGGAAGGTTTTGGAAATTGAGGATCTGCCATCAGTGTGGAATGGAGCCATCATCGTCTCCATCTTTAAAAAGGGTCGACATAACACATGCGACAACCATAGGAGTATCAGTTTGCTACCCATTGCGTCTAAAATATTGGTAGCTGTCTTGCTTCACAGGCTGTGCCGAACACGTCACGAGTCGATTCGCGAAGGGTAGGCTGGGTTTCGTTCAGGTCGTGGTTGCATTGATTGTGTTCACCCTTCGTCAATTGTTGGAACACCGCCATACGTATTGCAGGCCAACAATCGTAGTGTTTCTTGATATGAGGTCTGCCTTCTATTCGTTGGATAAAACTGTTCTCTGGGACTGTCTGTTAGAAGGGGGTGTGCCTGAGAAATTTTTTAACATCCTGAAAGCCCTATAGAAAAATACTTCAGGTAGAGTGAGGGCATACAACCAACTATCATCACTGTTCCCGACCAACATTATGGTTAGACTGGGTTGTCCAGTTTCCCCATTTCTCCTCAACTTTGCCATAGATGACACTATGGAGTCAGCTCTGAAAGACGTGCATGGTGGCGCTGTAGGTCTGCTTCCTGGAGAAAGACTTTTCGACCCCGACTATACAGACGTATCGTCTTACCGTGAGATAGCATGCGTGCACTTAATCAGTTGATGATCAGTGTCTGTAAGTATGGTATGTACTTGGCGCCGTCTAAATGCAAGGTACTGTTAAAAGATTGGCAGGAGCCTGTACCTGCACTCACCCTTGCAGGTGAACTATTTGAAGTTGTCGACAAGTTCGTGTATCTACGTAGTTGTGTGAGTGCTGGCGGAGGTGTGACGGAAGAGATTGCCAACCGTATCATGAAAGCTAGGGTGGTATACGTCAACTCGAGCCACCTCTGAAGCCGTCGCAATGTTAGCCTGACTGTCAAAGGTCGGGTTTACAATACTTCGATGCACGCTATTTCGCTCTACGCCTGTGAAACCTGGCTTCTCCGAGGTGAGGATGTGCGGCGACTCGGCGTATTCGACCACTACTGTCTCCGTAGAATTGCTTGAGTTCGATGGCATCATCATGTGAGTAATTCGGAGGTCACACGTGGTGTCGTGGGATGAAAGATATTTGTGGTATGTTAGCATCGGTAGGTGCGTCACCACTCCCTGGATTAGGTCCGGGAGATAGCTTCAATCCGTGGCTCGAGACGTTATCGGATATGGCCAAGAATCACAATCATTGACAAACGTGCTGCAATTTCCTTCTATCTTCTCCTGAATATAATTCGATGAATGCTACTTGGTTATGTGAAATGTAACTATTTTCTTCCTTTATTCATTCTCAACCTATTTTTATGTGTTGTCTTATTATTATTGTACGGCGCATCTTCTTGGTGCCATATTGTACAAGGTTTTATGTTTTAAATAAAATAACGCTGCCCTGCAATAATATTTTAAATAATACTTTTTTCTCGGCTGCTAATTAAGCATTCCAAATAATTATTTAACTAATAAAATGCGGCAGAGTTGATATTCTATACAGGAGTAAGAGTTTAATGTTGACTGCACATTTCAATCCGACTTTCGACCAAGTTCGTGCCGCACCTATTTCAACCTGTGTCATCACTGCTCGCACCTTATTTTTAGGAAGTTAAGTGGAGTGACATCCAAACTGAATAGAATACCATAGGAAAGAAAGTTGGTTGCATTATGCTACATATATAATTCACACCTGTGAAATAGTATTCGGGGTGGATTTGTACATGAACAAAACTAACGGATATGTGCCACCGATAAAACCAGTGCTTTATAGTCGGACGTTAAGTGCAGAAGCGCACCCCGTTAAATACAATCAATGAAAGCAAATGAACTGAAAATATTCCAGTTCCTTTTCTATCGTTGCTTTTTGTTTGGCGTGTTATGTAGTGGTTAGATATAATTCCACCAACTGTGATTGTTGTCTGGCACACTAATCGAGCTGCAGTCCATCTCCGTATACAGTGTTGACTAAAGTAAAGTGATCTATACTTAGTAATCTTCCTCAGATTGTAGAATAAAAGGCTAAGTAGTGTTTTTTTACATTATCTTTTGTGTCACATTGAAAGTTATCTATGAGTACTAGGAACTGGCAATTTACCTGAAGACTAGTGGGTATTTCTGTTTATTTTCTAGCAATAAGTTCCAAACACTCTACTACGTATGTTTTGTGATTTCCCCTCAACGCTGTATAATTTTATAACCTTGGTTTCTTGAGTCATATCCTATGATGTCACGAAAAGTGACAGCCTAACATGTAATATGTTTTTTGTTCAACGTTTTATTTCATTTGCTAAATTTCTTTACAGATGAATCTTTTCAGAACAGTATTTACAAAACCACAAATTAGCGGTTTGATGAACAGTTTATGCGGTGGAATGAGACTACTAACCATCCCTCCTGCGATTCCATCAAAAATATTATACGAACGACAAATAACACCTGATAAAACCCCCGCTCATCATAATAACACTCAAATTGAAGAGCTGTTGAAAAAACAACTGTGTGACTACCCTCCATATAGTTCTCGGAAAAGTAAATAACATTACTTTATATATTCGTTACACAGTTCGTCACGGCTTTCAGAATGCCATAATGATTCGCGATTATAAACGCAGACAAGTCGCTGCACACTTCTGTGATTTACGAATCAGACTAAATGCAATCAGGAAAAACAGAATACTTCCTCAGGAGATTCAAGTTAGTAAATAATTTTTAATCATCTTTTGTTCCTAGGACGAAGCCAGTCTTTACATGTCTTCTTTACCTCGTGATAGTAACTGGACACGCATTTTAAGCAGATGTGTCGTCACTTCAAGGAGACGAGGATGCAAAACCCGTTGGAAGTTGTCGCGCATTATATGGCGAAAAATCGCTGACTACAACAAAATGTCTGGAGTGCAATGGGCTTGCTGGGGATCAAACACGCATAGCGTCAGAAGACATATGTCATGGCCGCCTCCCAAAGGAATCACAGTTGCAGAGTATATTCGCAGATACTATAAGAATTTAGCTGATGAATCCAACAGTTATGTAAGCAAATAAATGCGGTCAAATATACCACTTCAAATATAATTCAGTTTACTTTTCATAAAATTTATTACATTTAGTTAAATCTATCATCAACTGACCAAACAGTAAATATCTACACCAATTTCAACCAACAGTACACAAAAGTAGTTGGAAGAAATATTGTGGTAAAAAAGAAGTCTCTGCAGGTGAAAAAATAAATTAGGTTATTTCAGCGACTTTCTTGTGCGTAGCGAGTACCTGCTACGTCCTACTGTTGTCTGAAACGTTCATCAAATATAATCAGATGACTTACCGTACGTGACGTATTATAAACACTTTTCCGTTTAACCGAAACAGCAATATTACCACATATATCTTCCTTTCCACTGACAACATCCCGAGAATTTTCCATACCATTTCCGTCCAGAGCAATATCCACCACTGGAACCATTGCTACTGCATCACAAGCTATCTTCATCTCGCGCTCATTCCTTGTAGTGGGGCTACTCATATTAGAACCAATTTCGGATTCTGAACAGATAAAAATCATAATTAGTAGGAAGGTGTACTCACTGTCAGCAATAGGCGTTGCACTTTTACGCTTTCTTGGGGTATCCCGACTACTCGTCCGACTTTGTGTTTCATCTCCTCTCGTCGGTGTGGTTGACACCACTGGTTTCCCATCCAGCGTGCCTCCACCTCCTGCTATAAGCCCTGTTTACAATTACTATTATTCCTAGCTACATCACTTACCGTCTACGCATATGTATGCAAGTGAGTCTGTCTGGTCCATATTCCTCTCGCGCTGATTCCCAGTGGTAGGGCTAATGATATTGGAACCAATTTCGGATCCTGAACAGATAAAAATCATAATTAGTAGGAAGGTGTACTCACTGTCAGCAATAGGCGTTGCACTTTTACGCTTTCTTGGGGTATCCCGACTACTCGTCCGACTTTGTGTTTCATCTCCTCTCGTCGGTGTGGTTGACACCACTGGTTTCCCATCCAGCGTGCCTCCACCTCCTGCTATCAGCCCTGTTTACAATTACTATTATTCCTAGCTACATCACTTACCGTCTACGCATATGTATGCAAGTGAGTCTGTCTGGTCCATATTCCTCTCGCGCTGATTCCCAGTGGTAGGGCTAATGATATTGGAACCAATTTCGGATTCTGAACAGATAAAAATCATAATTAGTAGGAAGGTGTACTCACTGTCAGCAATAGGCGTTGCACTTTTACGCTTTCTTGGGGTATCCCGACTACTCGTCCGACTTTGTGTTTCATCTCCTCTCGTCGGTGTGGTTGACACCACTGGTTTCCCATCCAGCGTGCCTCCACCTCCTGCTATAAGCCCTGTTTACAATTACTATTATTCCTAGCTACATCACTTACCGTCTACGCATATGTATGCAAGTGAGTCTGTCTGGTCCATATTCCTCTCGCGCTGATTCCCAGTGGTAGGGCTAATGATATTGAAACCAATTTCGGATTCTGAACAGATAAAAATCATAATTAGTAGGAAGGTGTACTCACTGTCAGCAATAGGCGTTGCACTTTTACGCTTTCTTGGGGTATCCCGACTACTCGTCCGACTTTGTGTTTCATCTCCTCTCGTCGGTGTGGTTGACACCACTGGTTTCCCATCCAGCGTGCCTCCACCTCCTGCTATCAGCCCTGTTTACAATTACTATTATTCCTAGCTACATCACTTACCGTCTACGCATATGTATGCAAGTGAGTCTGTCTGGTCCATATTCCTCTCGCGCTGATTCCCAGTGGTAGGGCTAATGATATTGGAACCAATTTCGGATTCTGAACAGATAAAAATCATAATTAGTAGGAAGGTGTACTCACTGTCAGCAATAGGCGTTGCACTTTTACGCTTTCTTGGGGTATCCCGACTACTCGTCCGACTTTGTGTTTCATCTCCTCTCGTCGGTGTGGTTGACACCACTGGTTTCCCATCCAGCGTGCCTCCACCTCCTGCTATAAGCCCTGTTTACAATTACTATTATTCCTAGCTACATCACTTACCGTCTACGCATATGTATGCAAGTGAGTCTGTCTGGTCCATATTCCTCTCGCGCTGATTCCCAGTGGTAGGGCTAATGATATTGAAACCAATTTCGGATTCTGAACAGATAAAAATCATAATTAGTAGGAAGGTGTACTCACTGTCAGCAATAGGCGTTGCACTTTTACGCTTTCTTGGGGTATCCCGACTACTCGTCCGACTTTGTGTTTCATCTCCTCTCGTCGGTGTGGTTGACACCACTGGTTTCCCATCCAGCGTGCCTCCACCTCCTGCTATAAGCCCTGTTTACAATTACTATTATTCCTAGCTACATCACTTACCGTCTACGCATATGTATGCAAGTGAGTCTGTCTGGTCCATATTCCTCTCGCGCTGATTCCCAGTGGTAGGGCTAATGATATTGGAACCAATTTCGGATTCTGAACAGATAAAAATCATAATTAGTAGGAAGGTGTACTCACTGTCAGCAATAGGCGTTGCACTTTTACGCTTTCTTGGGGTATCCCGACTACTCGTCCGACTTTGTGTTTCATCTCCTCTCGTCGGTGTGGTTGACACTACTGGTTTCCCATCCAGCGTGCCTCCACCTCCTGCTATAAGCCCTGTTTACAATTACTATTATTCCTAGCTACATCACTTACCGTCTACGCATATGTATGCAAGTGAGTCTGTCTGGTCCATATTCCTCTCGCGCTGATTCCCAGTGGTAGGGCTAATGATATTGAAACCAATTTCGGATTCTGAACAGATAAAAATCATAATTAGTAGGAAGGTGTACTCACTGTCAGCAATAGGCGTTGCACTTTTACGCTTTCTTGGGGTATCCCGACTACTCGTCCGACTTTGTGTTTCATCTCCTCTCGTCGGTGTGGTTGACACCACTGGTTTCCCATCCAGCGTGCCTCCACCTCCTGCTATAAGCCCTGTTTACAATTACTATTATTCCTAGCTACATCACTTACCGTCTACGCATATGTATGCAAGTGAGTCTGTCTGGTCCATATTCCTCTCGCGCTGATTCCCAGTGGTAGGGCTAATGATATTGGAACCAATTTCGGATCCTGAACAGATAAAAATCATAATTAGTAGGAAGGTGTACTCACTGTCAGCAATAGGCGTTGCACTTTTACGCTTTCTTGGGGTATCCCGACTACTCGTCCGACTTTGTGTTTCATCTCCTCTCGTCGGTGTGGTTGACACCACTGGTTTCCCATCCAGCGTGCCTCCACCTCCTGCTATCAGCCCTGTTTACAATTACTATTATTCCTAGCTACATCACTTACCGTCTACGCATATGTATGCAAGTGAGTCTGTCTGGTCCATATTCCTCTCGCGCTGATTCCCAGTGGTAGGGCTAATGATATTGGAACCAATTTCGGATTCTGAACAGATAAAAATCATAATTAGTAGGAAGGTGTACTCACTGTCAGCAATAGGCGTTGCACTTTTACGCTTTCTTGGGGTATCCCGACTACTCGTCCGACTTTGTGTTTCATCTCCTCTCGTCGGTGTGGTTGACACCACTGGTTTCCCATCCAGCGTGCCTCCACCTCCTGCTATAAGCCCTGTTTACAATTACTATTATTCCTAGCTACATCACTTACCGTCTACGCATATGTATGCAAGTGAGTCTGTCTGGTCCATATTCCTCTCGCGCTGATTCCCAGTGGTAGGGCTAATGATATTGAAACCAATTTCGGATTCTGAACAGATAAAAATCATAATTAGTAGGAAGGTGTACTCACTGTCAGCAATAGGCGTTGCACTTTTACGCTTTCTTGGGGTATCCCGACTACTCGTCCGACTTTGTGTTTCATCTCCTCTCGTCGGTGTGGTTGACACCACTGGTTTCCCATCCAGCGTGCCTCCACCTCCTGCTATCAGCCCTGTTTACAATTACTATTATTCCTAGCTACATCACTTACCGTCTACGCATATGTATGCAAGTGAGTCTGTCTGGTCCATATTCCTCTCGCGCTGATTCCCAGTGGTAGGGCTAATGATATTGGAACCAATTTCGGATTCTGAACAGATAAAAATCATAATTAGTAGGAAGGTGTACTCACTGTCAGCAATAGGCGTTGCACTTTTACGCTTTCTTGGGGTATCCCGACTACTCGTCCGACTTTGTGTTTCATCTCCTCTCGTCGGTGTGGTTGACACCACTGGTTTCCCATCCAGCGTGCCTCCACCTCCTGCTATAAGCCCTGTTTACAATTACTATTATTCCTAGCTACATCACTTACCGTCTACGCATATGTATGCAAGTGAGTCTGTCTGGTCCATATTCCTCTCGCGCTGATTCCCAGTGGTAGGGCTAATGATATTGAAACCAATTTCGGATTCTGAACAGATAAAAATCATAATTAGTAGGAAGGTGTACTCACTGTCAGCAATAGGCGTTGCACTTTTACGCTTTCTTGGGGTATCCCGACTACTCGTCCGACTTTGTGTTTCATCTCCTCTCGTCGGTGTGGTTGACACCACTGGTTTCCCATCCAGCGTGCCTCCACCTCCTGCTATAAGCCCTGTTTACAATTACTATTATTCCTAGCTACATCACTTACCGTCTACGCATATGTATGCAAGTGAGTCTGTCTGGTCCATATTCCTCTCGCGCTGATTCCCAGTGGTAGGGCTAATGATATTGGAACCAATTTCGGATTCTGAACAGATAAAAATCATAATTAGTAGGAAGGTGTACTCACTGTCAGCAATAGGCGTTGCACTTTTACGCTTTCTTGGGGTATCCCGACTACTCGTCCGACTTTGTGTTTCATCTCCTCTCGTCGGTGTGGTTGACACCACTGGTTTCCCATCCAGCGTGCCTCCACCTCCTGCTATCAGCCCTGTTTACAATTACTATTATTCCTAGCTACATCACTTACCGTCTACGCATATGTATGCAAGTGAGTCTGTCTGGTCCATATTCCTCTCGCGCTGATTCCCAGTGGTAGGGCTAATGATATTGGAACCAATTTCGGATTCTGAACAGATAAAAATCATAATTAGTAGGAAGGTGTACTCACTGTCAGCAATAGGCGTTGCACTTTTACGCTTTCTTGGGGTATCCCGACTACTCGTCCGACTTTGTGTTTCATCTCCTCTCGTCGGTGTGGTTGACACCACTGGTTTCCCATCCAGCGTGCCTCCACCTCCTGCTATAAGCCCTGTTTACAATTACTATTATTCCTAGCTACATCACTTACCGTCTACGCATATGTATGCAAGTGAGTCTGTCTGGTCCATATTCCTCTCGCGCTGATTCCCAGTGGTAGGGCTAATGATATTGAAACCAATTTCGGATTCTGAACAGATAAAAATCATAATTAGTAGGAAGGTGTACTCACTGTCAGCAATAGGCGTTGCACTTTTACGCTTTCTTGGGGTATCCCGACTACTCGTCCGACTTTGTGTTTCATCTCCTCTCGTCGGTGTGGTTGACACCACTGGTTTCCCATCCAGCGTGCCTCCACCTCCTGCTATAAGCCCTGTTTACAATTACTATTATTCCTAGCTACATCACTTACCGTCTACGCATATGTATGCAAGTGAGTCTGTCTGGTCCATATTCCTCTCGCGCTGATTCCCAGTGGTAGGGCTAATGATATTGGAACCAATTTCGGATTCTGAACAGATAAAAATCATAATTAGTAGGAAGGTGTACTCACTGTCAGCAATAGGCGTTGCACTTTTACGCTTTCTTGGGGTATCCCGACTACTCGTCCGACTTTGTGTTTCATCTCCTCTCGTCGGTGTGGTTGACACCACTGGTTTCCCATCCAGCGTGCCTCCACCTCCTGCTATAAGCCCTGTTTACAATTACTATTATTCCTAGCTACATCACTTACCGTCTACGCATATGTATGCAAGTGAGTCTGTCTGGTCCATATTCCTCTCGCGCTGATTCCCAGTGGTAGGGCTAATGATATTGGAACCAATTTCGGATTCTGAACAGATAAAAATCATAATTAGTAGGAAGGTGTACTCACTGTCAGCAATAGGCGTTGCACTTTTACGCTTTCTTGGGGTATCCCGACTACTCGTCCGACTTTGTGTTTCATCTCCTCTCGTCGGTGTGGTTGACACCACTGGTTTCCCATCCAGCGTGCCTCCACCTCCTGCTATCAGCCCTGTTTACAATTACTATTATTCCTAGCTACATCACTTACCGTCTACGCATATGTATGCAAGTGAGTCTGTCTGGTCCATATTCCTCTCGCGCTGATTCCCAGTGGTAGGGCTAATGATATTGGAACCAATTTCGGATTCTGAACAGATAAAAATCATAATTAGTAGGAAGGTGTACTCACTGTCAGCAATAGGCGTTGCACTTTTACGCTTTCTTGGGGTATCCCGACTACTCGTCCGACTTTGTGTTTCATCTCCTCTCGTCGGTGTGGTTGACACCACTGGTTTCCCATCCAGCGTGCCTCCACCTCCTGCTATAAGCCCTGTTTACAATTACTATTATTCCTAGCTACATCACTTACCGTCTACGCATATGTATGCAAGTGAGTCTGTCTGGTCCATATTCCTCTCGCGCTGATTCCCAGTGGTAGGGCTAATGATATTGAAACCAATTTCGGATTCTGAACAGATAAAAATCATAATTAGTAGGAAGGTGTACTCACTGTCAGCAATAGGCGTTGCACTTTTACGCTTTCTTGGGGTATCCCGACTACTCGTCCGACTTTGTGTTTCATCTCCTCTCGTCGGTGTGGTTGACACCACTGGTTTCCCATCCAGCGTGCCTCCACCTCCTGCTATAAGCCCTGTTTACAATTACTATTATTCCTAGCTACATCACTTACCGTCTACGCATATGTATGCAAGTGAGTCTGTCTGGTCCATATTCCTCTCGCGCTGATTCCCAGTGGTAGGGCTAATGATATTGGAACCAATTTCGGATTCTGAACAGATAAAAATCATAATTAGTAGGAAGGTGTACTCACTGTCAGCAATAGGCGTTGCACTTTTACGCTTTCTTGGGGTATCCCGACTACTCGTCCGACTTTGTGTTTCATCTCCTCTCGTCGGTGTGGTTGACACCACTGGTTTCCCATCCAGCGTGCCTCCACCTCCTGCTATAAGCCCTGTTTACAATTACTATTATTCCTAGCTACATCACTTACCGTCTACGCATATGTATGCAAGTGAGTCTGTCTGGTCCATATTCCTCTCGCGCTGATTCCCAGTGGTAGGGCTAATGATATTGAAACCAATTTCGGATTCTGAACAGATAAAAATCATAATTAGTAGGAAGGTGTACTCACTGTCAGCAATAGGCGTTGCACTTTTACGCTTTCTTGGGGTATCCCGACTACTCGTCCGACTTTGTGTTTCATCTCCTCTCGTCGGTGTGGTTGACACCACTGGTTTCCCATCCAGCGTGCCTCCACCTCCTGCTATAAGCCCTGTTTACAATTACTATTATTCCTAGCTACATCACTTACCGTCTACGCATATGTATGCAAGTGAGTCTGTCTGGTCCATATTCCTCTCGCGCTGATTCCCAGTGGTAGGGCTAATGATATTGGAACCAATTTCGGATTCTGAACAGATAAAAATCATAATTAGTAGGAAGGTGTACTCACTGTCAGCAATAGGCGTTGCACTTTTACGCTTTCTTGGGGTATCCCGACTACTCGTCCGACTTTGTGTTTCATCTCCTCTCGTCGGTGTGGTTGACATCACTGGTTTCCCATCCAGCGTGCCTCCACCTCCTGCTATCAGCCCTGTTTACAATTACTATTATTCCTAGCTACATCACTTACCGTCTACGCATATGTATGCAAGTGAATCTGTCTGGTCCATATTCCTCTCGCGCTGATTCCCAGTGGTAGGGCTAATGATATTGGAACCAATTTCGGATTCTGAACAGATAAAAATCATAATTAGTAGGAAGGTGTACTCACTGTCAGCAATAGGCGTTGCACTTTTACGCTTTCTTGGGGTATCCCGACCACTCATGGGACTTGTCGTGCCATCTGTTTTAGTTGGTATAGTTGGTTCCAGTTGTGTTTCGTCTTTGTCTTCGATGTCCTCACTATCTTCCACCACGGAGGCAGGAGTGTGAATCTGTACAAATTCTGGTATCTCTACATGTGGTTCGATTAATATTAAGGTTCACTTACCATTTATGCTTTCGACGCTAGTGTTGCCCGTCAGTTTTCTTCTTTTGGGAGCGAGTTTAGCCGAATCAGGGTCTTTACAGGAAAGCGTAAGGTTTTTTTTGTGAATTAGACACTTCATACCTGTCAGTAACTCCCTTTTAGAGTTAGTGTGAATTTCATAAATTTCCTCCTCTACCAATTCGTGATTGTTTATTGATTCAATATCTACATCTGGAGTATTCATGTTTTCGAAGTTTTGATTGTCCTCTGTAATCAATTTTTTTGCATATCATCAAAACAGTATTATTTATACTAACTTTTATATTTGGCTGAATAAACACCATTTTGCGCTGACAAGCGATGTTTAACCGTTAACTTTCGCTTTTCTTTCTTTTTATGTCGTTTTATTTTGACCTGATTACCAACATTCTGTTTATTACATTAGCTCATTGAAAAGTAAAGGATTCTTACATCATTATTTTTTCCCTCTACATCATCAGAACACGGATTTAGTAATTTTGCTAATGTAGATAAATCGAAAGCATTTAGAAGCATTTGAATCTTTTCATTTGTTGTGCATGTTTTCCAATAGGCTAATTTGATTTTAGTGGGTATCTTTTGGCGCATCCAGCGGAAAATAGAATCTGTATCTAAATATTTACGTGAAAGTTGCTTTATTTCTTCATATTCATGTACATGAAGACTTACTTCTTGTGTCGGCTTTACAATATGGGGAAAGTTAAGATCCAACCATTTGTAAAGCATCAGAATCCTGACGGTATTTACATGACTTTTAAAAATTGTTTTGTCCATAGAAAATATCCTCCTAGAAAAATTATATAAAAGTAACTGCCTACTTGGTTACTGCAGCCGCAAAGTCAGGGGCAGAAACAGCAGTGTTCATTTGCAAAAGAACATCAATCAAATATATGGTTTCCCCTGAAAGTGTGAACTCAACCAGTAAAATATCTTTTAAGCTAAGTTTGGAACTGTTATCAAGCACTTTCTTCGAATCCAAAAATGAAGCCAAGAGAGAAGTCCATATCATGCGGTCATTGCTTTTACATGACTATAAACATTTGTAAATCTTAGTAAAAAATTTCTTACGGAACAACCGAGAAAGGAGTGAGAATAATAAATAGATAGAACTTTCTCCAGGCAATCATTGATCATTCTAAGTATAAATCAGATGAGGAACTTCTAGTTACTGGGCATTTTTTGCGTCGACACGGATACGACTCCATCTAAGAAAATTAAAAGACATATTAGTGATTACCACACGGCAGCTAACATGTTATTATACATATATGAGTGACTAAATCATATAAAAACAAGTAGTTAGTCTGTAGTAGAGTAAATCAGCAAATGAAGACATATGTAATATGAACGCTGAGTTTGTTTCACAGGTTGAACGAAATAAGTGTGGTGGGTTATGGATCGTTTGAAGATAGATTTCTAAAGCTCAAGACATCGTAAAACAAATCACTTTCTTTGAAATTATATTCATTTTAAAGTTCTATCTCCCATGTGAAGTGGCATAATGTGAGCAATATTGAGATTAGGCGTCGAGTGCTAGGTAAGGCGGGGAAATCAGTTGACGAGACTGTGAAATTACATCGACTGAGATGGTTAGGACATGTGTTACGTATGCCTAGTCATCGCCTTCTTCGACGGACATTGTTAGCTGATATAGGGTCTGGCTGGGAAAGAGCTAGCGGCGGTCAAACCAAAACATGGCACCAGTCAATGAAATCTACAACAGTTAGTCTAGGCCACGTAGGAAGGTGTAGACTTCCTGGTTGGGGTCCTCGGGACGGTAAAAACCAATGGTTGGAAACAATTGGTGACATGGCTCAAAGTCGTTCTCAATGGCTGGTGTAGATGCATCCACTTCTTGTGACTTAAGATTTCCAATTAAACTGTTTTGTTCTTCGTTATTACTATACCTTTGTGTCACACCTCTGTTTACTGTCTCTAATATGGACTTCTCCTACTTCCTTCTCTTGCTTTGTGTGCTACATGGAATGTGGCGACTTGAACTGCCGCACATATGTGCATAGTTCTATGTCGAAAACAGACAGACATTCTAAAGTTGAAGATATACACCAGTACATGACGATGTAGTGTAATTCCGTTTCAATCCAAGTTATCGGGTATCAGATATACCTGAAGTAAAAGTAGGATCACGACATTTGTTTCAGTAACAGTATGCACATCCTAAGATAATTATGAACACAGTTAGTCTCCGTGAAATGAAGAACAAGTCTGACTCCCTTATAAGTGTCCTTGACTAGTCTAAATAAAAATTAGGAGTGGAAACTCTTAAAAGACACCAATCGATGTAAAAAAAAGCCAAGAAAATAATCAACCAGGAATCCATACATAGCCCTAAATATCTGGCTAAAAGCCTCCCAGTAAAGGAACTGACTTCTATCCTAGCTTTTCGGACCGTTAAATACCGCCTTTAAGTGCACAATTGCGACTATTGTAGTGTACTATTAAATGTCATTGTATTCTACAGATCTCCGTAAAGATTACACCAGCACATTGGAAAATTGACTTAGAAATATGTCTACTTCAGGAACACAAGCTGGTTTCTCAGGGATTGAAAACCCACCATATCTTAAATTATTTTTGGTTATCATATAAGGAACTCAAACCTTTTGAAAAAGAATTCATCGTTACTGAAGGCAAAAGATAACCATGCGCTACTTCTAATGCTGAAACCATATTTTGTACATATAAAACCTAGCATTTAATTCTAAAAGTCTGTCCTTCATAAGGATCACAGTGAAGCGGTATTATATACTCGCTGAAATCCCAAACAATTTGCCATTCACAGTGACATCATTTGTGAATTTACAGTTTTAAAACTTGTATTCCACTTTATATAATAAAATAAACAAATATAAAAAATTTTCAAGTATTGGTTTGGTAGGGATTTTGTTTAATTGTATGGAGGATTTCATCATGAGCTGACATCAGTTAGAGAAACACTGGAAAACCTGGGAGTACTGGACAGCTGTTTCGTCCTAGTTTGGGACTCTTCAGTAGTACACACCCACCGGGATTCGAACCCAGGACCTTCTGGTTACAAGACGAGCTCGTAGACCATTGAGCCACTGGGACCCGATCCAATGGTTCTTGAATTCTAACTTCTGCCAATTCACGACATAGCGCGACCATTTCGCAATGTCTTCTTTGATGAGTTACTGTCACATCTTCAACCTGCTGTACCCTACTGGTCACGGCTTCCCACTAGAACCCCAGGTTAACTGCCTGAATGTCAGCTCATGATGAAATCCTCCATACAATTAAACAAAATCCCTACCAAACCAATACTTGAAAATTAATCTGATGCTCACTAGTGACTGGCCCTATTCAGGCAGTTAACCTGGGGTTCTAGTGGGAAGCCGTGACCAGTAGGGTACAGCAGGTTGAAGATGTGACAGTAACTCATCAAAGAAGACATTGCGAAATGGTCGCGCTATGTCGTGAATTGGCAGAAGTTAGAATTCAAGAACCATTGGATCGGGTCCCAGTGGCTCAATGGTCTACGAGCTCGTCTTGTAACCAGAAGGTCCTGGGTTCGAATCCCGGTGGGTGTGTACTACTGAAGAGTCCCAAACTAGGACGAAACAGCTGTCCAGTACTCCCAGGTTTTCCAGTGGTTCTCTAACTGATGTCAGCTCATGATGAAATCCTCCATACAAATATAAAAAATACTTAGTAAATTATACTAAGCTAAGAAGTTTAGAAAATTCTCAGCTACAGTGGAGAAGTGCGAAGACGGTTATTAACTGAATACATACACATTCCAGACATCTGAAAAAATCTACTGCCACCAAGACGAGTTAAAATTCCAACTGGAACTGAATATATATATATATATATATTGGAAGTATTCGCCGGAGTCATTTGGTTCGCTGAGTCAAGTCACTGACTACTTTGTGCGATAATCTGGATCTCATCCATAACCTATTCTATCCCGTTTTAGGCACTTTATTGTGACAACGTCCTAATAAAAGACTGTACAGTGGGAACATGGATAAAAAGTAAAGTATGTGACAATTTTGAACGGATGAGACATGCATAGAATGCAACATTGTAACTCACTTTCCCGTGTTTCTCACTTTTCTTACATTCTCAGATAACTAACTCCCCACTTTTCTCATTTATGCAACCCTAGTCAGACAGAAATGGTAGAAAGGGTTGAATAATGGGTATGGCCAGTAGTAAGAAAATGGGCGAATTCCAGATATATGACAAAAATTCTGACCATTATTAGACCCCTGCAGAGATATTACTTAACCAATATTCCCTTTTACTTATTAATAAACCAGTATTTTTTAGTTTCAACTATTATTAAGCCTTTGGTGAAGTATCTGCCGATTACGTAAACCCTAGTTTCTCATTTAACGCCCTATTAAAACATTTTTAACCCATACTTTCATAAGTTTATTTTCATATTCCCATTGTGACTTTAAAAAAAACTTTTTCAACCAAATGCACCCCAATTTCGTGAAAAATCCTCAATTGAGGCTTCTGTTGCAGCAGTAATGTACTTGTACGGCTAAAAAGAGTTTTTGATCTAAGTTTATTGACGACCTTCTGAGGAGCAATTACACAAACTCCTACTTCTTCAATTGCATTTAAGACGTCTTGGCGAGTTTTTTTCGGCATATTTTTGATACTCCTCCAATTTTATTTAGTACAATGAATACATATCCAAATGTAGATGGCTGAAAACTAATCATTTGAAGTTAAAAATTAGCGATGACCCGACTATGATTTCCATCGAATAACTGTGGCTATTTCTACAGAAATACACCTCAATAATAGCTGAAATAGCTTTAGAATAAGGCAAAAAAGTTCATGTTCACAGCAAGTGATGTCTATTAGGATGACGCGAAGTACACTTTCTTTTCCCCACCTATAATCCCACCTTCAAATCTCGCACATATGTAGTCTCATGAGGAAGAGCATTTCCTCACAGGAAGGACTTAGATGAGTGGTAATAAACTTTTATGCTCATGCATATACACATATACTTGATTCATATGAACTGTGATCAAGATTTGACCGGATAGGTGCAAAATAATTGAGCGCTGAGTGAGAAGTAGACATTTATAAAATTATATTTGTAAAATCTCAGCGAAACTGAAATGATTAATTCCAACGATTCGTTCGGCAATCTGGTCCGATTAATTTCCCTGAAAAAGTTCGGACCAGATTGCCGAACAAAACGTTGAAATTAATCATTTCAACTTCGCTGAGATTTTACAAATATAATTTTATACATATACTTCATATTGTGTGGCCACCTGACGATAACCACAATGCAACCCCAGGTGAAAACAGATTTAGTGCATCGTAGAGATGCTTATTTGAAAAATGTTAGGGGATCGCACCAAAATATCGCCGTTCCTTTCACCAAAACAGCGCCCAAACGCCTCAGAATTTTATATAGGGGTAGCATATACAAGTGAATTGAAACGCATAGTTCTTAGATAGCTTACTCTTCAATTTTCACTATTAGCTCGTGCTGTCGACATACGTCATTGCTTGTAAATGAATCTTGTAAATCTGCTAGAATATCAGCCATGAAAATAAATTCAGCGTGTATGACAACCTTGAGGTTGTCTTTCCCTCAATATCTGGGGAATTTAAAACATTGTACGAAATGAGCTGGACTTATCCGACATGTTGGTTGAAATTTCGCCTAGTAAATTGTTTTTGTGAATAACTTTTAATAAAGTTGTGCTAAGTGTTTTCTAGACTTATAAGAATTCTCATTTTCTGACAAGCATGATGGTGTCCACGTCATATGATATGACTTTGACACACTTTTAACATATTGGTTACAATGATTAGTGTTTCAGGTGGGCTGTGTCAAAATATCGCTATAATGAGGAATATGGGATAGTTAGAGGATAATGTCATCTACACAAATAATCTACTTTATGTAGAAGCCTCACCTTTCGGCATAGCATCATTCAATAAAGGTTTCATGTCTCAGGATATCAACGCAGCATATTTTTGCGTGAAAAACAGTACTATTTGGCAAGTGAATGCCTTCAGCACATGGAAATCACTTACAAATGCTAGTAAAACCTGTGGGAACAGAAGTTATCATATAGATGTGTCTTTCACTATATGCGTGTTTGGATAGGAATTATCGTAAGTTTTTTATTATTTTTATTTTGATTTACTGCTTGATTCCACACCGTATTTTCAGTACAAGTATGGAATTTTCAGCATGGATATCGGTAGCCCAAATTCAGGCCGACCATAGATATCGGGTGTGCGCCGGCAGGGGATCGAACCCCGGACCATGTGCATGGTCGGCGAGAGTCCTGAAAGGTTGTCTCTAAGTGGATTTAATATGTATTTGCACTGATTAGTGCAGTGTAATATGGGTTATGTGGACTCAATGTATAAACAATATCTCAACCTTATTAGTATTGTGCCACTGTATGCTTGGCCCACTGCTAGGCTAACAAATGTAGGTGGTCCTCATAATTACTGGAAGTGCAGTGCGGTGGAGAAGGCAATTACTCGTTTCATTTTACTCACTGTTTCAGTGTATAGAATTATTATTCGCATGGATTGTGTTGATTATGAGAAGTGAATCTAATCAAATCTACTGTTTTCAATCTACTGTCTGTTATGCTATTCCCACTGACACTGTATACTTAATGCTGCAATATTTTTGATCACCAGTAGTGGAGATGAATTTCTCCTGAAATTTCCACTTACGTAAAGCAGTTAAGATGCAGAATCATGATTGAATATCTAGGTTGCAATATATGGCATTGTTATCCCCATCAACACAACAGGTCTGTGTATCTCACAGTATCTTAAGTGTTTCTCTGTGCTGTTAACACTGTGCATAGCTGTTTAGAGTTGAGACAGGTTCAGCTTTTGTTTGATAGCTATAGTTTCCTAAATATGGGAATGTAATTTCGGTAGGATTCACAAAACCATGTTCACTAGACATTACTGAGATTAAGGATTAATTTCTAAGTTACACATTTGCAATATCTCATTTAATGTAAACGTATTTAATGTGAAGTTGATCTGCAAGTAATCTTGATTAGAGAAAGACGCCTCAACAGTATGAATATTTCAGAGTTTTTCTTGAAATTTGCGTATAATCCTCTAATACTGGAAAACATATGACAGTCCATTTATGGATAGGGCGTCAATATAAAGGCTAGCTGTGGACTACAAACACTTTTATTTGCGTGAGAATTTTGTTTAGTATTAATAAACTCAGTGAATTCATATTGCATATTAATAAATTAAATTATCTTCCATAACTTCATGTTGTCCTTATTTTTTAAGTATATTGAGGTTGCCGAATATGAAATCAGTGGAAAAGTCAGTGGGTCGAACTAACGCTAATACCATTCATCAGAATTTTCTTTGGTAAATTAATGAAATGTTTAATATACTCTTAATTTCTACTTCTTCTGGACTTTTCCAATGAGTCGCTATACTTTGTGCTCTTGTAATATGTGAATTCGGATTAATGCATGTTAAGCTTAGTTAGTGGGATGGAGATTTACTATAGTATTATGAGATTGTTACGTTAGTCATTCATAGGATTTTGCTTTTGTTTCTGTTCAATAGCACGTTGTAAAAACTAAGTGGGATCTAGCAAGTTGAATAATAATTCTGCACTGTTCCATACTCTAAAGATGCATTATTTAGGCAGTTGCAAGTCCGTATACGGCTAAACGCCAAGTATGTAGTTCGAGTAAGTGTAGTAACTTAGTGCTGATAGCTACTTCACTAATCTGTTAATATGCAGTGACATCAAATGGACTGTTTACTTGGCGATGAGCTGAGAAACAATTTTATTTATTAACAATATGCCGCTAAATCATGTGATGTTATCTAATACCCAATATTTTTATGATCAACAACTGCAGTATTTGCATATCTCCCTGGTGGATATTTAATTAACCTTATGCATCTAATTACAATCAGTATGACAATAATATTCCCTACTCATTTGATGTGTGTACACTGAACAAGTCTTCCATACATTCTTCCATACGTGCCAATCTTTCTAGTGTCACAAGTGTAATGAAACCTGCTTCCCTGGTTTCAATACAATTGATGTTCTAAGGTGTCACTGAACTCTTCGTCTAGCCTAGGACCAGATTGTTTGCATAGCTGAGATACAGTTGAATTGACGAACTTCTTTCACTGCCTGTTGGAATATCATGGCCGGTCGTTTAGGATGCTTTAATCTAATGATTCAGCATATTGTCTAGTGGACACTCAGCTTCAGTGGGCTGGGTGATCAAGTAGCACTCACGAACCTCATCTCTAATTTAGGTTAAGAGCTCACAGGCTCTCCAGCGAAGCAGATACTTGACATTCAATCGCCTTACTTCTGAGTCCTCTAACACTGTTGTGAATTCACTTGGTGTCCCGACTCAGCACGCATTGCTTATCTGCACTGATAATGTGTGATCCCGATATTTTCAGTTCCAAACATCAACGTATAGACCCACCAGTTACAGTTGAACTTGTGCTACCAATTTGGAGATTCCGTTGTTGTTAGGATCTACTTAGAGTTGCCCAATGGCCATGCAGGTTTAGAATTTTGATGTTACATTTATCTGTTGTCACTGAATTTCTCTAAATGTGATCTTCCTAAATCGATAGCTACTACTGCTGTTGTAAGTGCCACAGTATCGCTCGAAATGTCCGAGAATCTAAACCTTAGTGCGCTGAATGGTGAAGAGAAAAGGGCGCCCTAATTTTCACTCGTGCGGTTATACACGGCCACTACCGCCGGTCGTACGAGTGTTGACCGCCTACATCTTACACTGTCAGCCCCCGAACGCGCCTTTTACTCAGCTGAATGCCCTTCATTCTGGTACAACTCTCATGTCGTACGGTCTGTTCATCAAATGTGTTTCTAACAACAGCGGAAACTGTACCACACATTTAGCTGATTTTAACTTGACTCTTAAAAGTGCAGATTTGCTCCTTGTGTGGCCAGCGAGGATTAGATTATGGGTCACGTATTTGGGGCCAACACAAAGAGGTACTCCACAAGAGCCTCTAGAATAGTAGTAAGGCGGCCTGCTTGAATATTGGACTACCTAAACTTCCATCTACGTACTGCATCCAACTTATCGAGTTTTATTTGTGTTTAAATATCAGAGTATGACGCCAAATCTCATTATTCACCCTCACAACATTTTTCAATGTTTAGGACAAAGTGACCCTACCATTTCTAACAAATCCATGGTTGGCAACCAGCATGAGGATGCACACCTATGTACCAGTCTACTATTCCCGTTATCATTAGCACCAAACGCCGTCCTCTTCCCAACAAATTGTATATCCACAATCTCCCATATCCCCCGGTACTTGTCACAATACTACTATGACCACACCACAAGAAGGTTAGCTTCACAGGCGTTATGATGACAACCCTGTCTCACCAAATGGCTATACGTTACTTGGACAAGGTCGACGTTTTTCCAAAAAGAAATGCGGCAAATTTTATTCATGCCCAATTGTCGATTTCAAACAATATGTCTCACATTCTAGAGTGACTTTATTGACTGTATTACGGTCAAATGTCCTCTCAGACACTTATAAGAGCACAAACGAATTTTCGTCGCAAGCATTTTATTTACACCTGGTTGTTGCTTCTCGGCTCTATACCGTTTTGAAGAAGAACCTACGTTTTTTGCTGCTGCCTATCTTAAGAATTTTCTCAGTAGGCACTGCAGACTTCAATCCCTGCAACTGTTCTTTCTCTGAGTCACTAGGTCATGTAAATATTGTCAACTTTGTTACTGTACTTTTGTTGAACAAGCTGTCCATGACAGAAACCGAGTCCTGGGCTTTTAACCGGTTGCATTCCTTTTTCCCTAACAGAATGTATTATACTTTATATGAAGCCAAATCTTCCTCTGCCTTGCTTACTGAAACTGGAGTCCTTCAAGATTCTGTTATCTGTCCTCTTCTTTTTTCTTCCTCCTCGCATGATGTGCCTCTTTAGGAAGAGATCAACTTCGCTAAATAGGCTGGTGATCTGATTGTCTCGTTCCCAGTTAACTCCATGACTATTTCAAACTTAACAGCCTTTTTAGAACACAAGCCAATGGTCTATGCTGAATGGTCTTATGTTGCGTCTCTCTAAAAGTAAGACAGTTAATTTTACTTTAAGGCATAGACTTCCAATAATGTATTATTCATAATTGCATTCCATACCATTTTGCAGCTGTGCAGAATTTTCTTCTCTTCCTGAAATAGCCTTCAATCACGTGGCGGCATAGCAATCACCCAAATATACTCTGTTCACTGGTTGACCATAACTATCAGCAGGAAACAGAACGAAGTTTGGGTTGTTACTCAACTTTGATGGTGACATTTGTAAATGGTTTACAATTTATCATTTATAAGAACCTGTTCTAACTGCTTGTAAAATAACTGAACAATTTAAACTTTTGAAAAAGCATTAATTTATGGTTCTTCAGGATTGTAATTTATAACATTACTGATTGTACCTGTAAAAATGGCATGCACTTCTTGTAAACTTACTCGTTTGTACGAAATATAAGTTATTATAATCACATCCCTACAAAGCAAAACTTGAATAAAAACTTTCATTAGAGAAGAAAAACAATGCTTGATTGAAGCTTGTGACAGTTACATTATTCCTCTTGAAAAAGTTCGAGAAAGTGAGACTGATGTTAGTGCCGCGCCGGCGGGCAACTAAAAATGCATTCCCATATTCATAACGAACTTTATTTAATGTAATTCTATGTGGCGGCAAACTGTCATTTCTTACGTCATTTACCTGTAAAAACGATGTTGCTCACCCATAT